TTAAACATCATTTAATTTTTTCCTTTTTAAATAATACTTTTATTTAAAAGCTATATAATTCAAGTCAATTTAAAAATTTCTTTTAAATGGTTCCCATAAGATATATATACATATATATATATTAAATTTGTATAGAGTTGAAATAATATTAATATTACAAACTTTTTATATAATTTAAATATTATAAATATTTTTAAAAATATGCAATATATATTTTTTGTTATTGAATAAGAGGATATTATGTGTAAGAAATGTAGAAAATAAGAGTTTAATATTTTTATTATGGAGTCGCAAGAAAAATCTTTTATTTCTATACATGTTATTCGTTTATTAATAATAAAAGAAAACAAATCCTTTAAATTAGATATTAACTAAAATAAACGCACCATAATTACTTATTAAGTAACAACCAATAAATTTCACCAAAAAATATGTAACAACCAATAAATTCTAAACGCAGTAATTAAAGAATGAGATATTAAAAAAAAATATCAAATAAGATATAAGAATCTTAAAATAATTGAATATCTAAATAATTTAATTGTTAGTGTCGATTTTAATGCCTTCATTAATGTGGATTTTTTTTTAGAGAGAAATATTTCCTAAAGATTATCACATTAATGACTCAGAAAATTAAGGAAGATATGAATTTATGATTCTCGAAATCGTGTTGGTAATATCTTTAATTAATATTTTTCAAATTTAAATAATTAATGCTAATGGCATTCATCTGTAAATACATTCCAACTCCAGGATTTATTTGCTAAAAGTCATCCAAAAATGTATATATAGACTAGAATTTAACCCGCGGTACACCGCGTGGCTATATTTTTTTAAAAAATATAATATTATTTTTTAAAGAAAGTGGTTTTACAACGTGATTAGTCAAAGTGTCGAGTGTCGACGTAGTTTTCAATTTGCAGGCAGACAGGATTGGTTTTTGCACCAAACCGAAGACATTAGAGAATTTTTTGGTTTAGAATATTAATCCTACAAACCAAATGTTAACAGAAGATGCTTAAAAGGATTATTATTAGAAATAGGTTGGATCGTGAAACGAATGATGGGAATTGGAAATTACACAACTTTGTTCTGTTATGCAATAGCAATATTTGCAATTTCGGTATGAGTTAAAAGACCGGAAAAAGAAATTAAACCAGCACCGGCCAACAAATGTAGAAAACCGACCAGAGGCTCTTGATTTTAACGCAGTCGTTTTCGGGATACTAAAAAACCTCATGTGGATGTGAAGAATGAGATTTTAATTTATATAAAAAGATGTAAACTTCAAAATTGGGTTTTACTTTCCAAGACATCTTCACGTGATGTTTTTCTATATGCTCTCTAAAATATATCTTTATAAGTTATAAATTTACCATCAAATTATTAAAAATAACAATGTTATTTTATCCGCGATTACCCTATTTTTTTTTTTTTGATAAATCCTATCGGCTATCCGGTCGGCCCCAGTAGAAATGCACCGAAATGCTACATAGTGGACTGGTCCACTATCTTATCAAAAACCCTATCGGCTATCCGGATGCTTGGGCCGATCACCCTATCTTATCAAAAACCACATAGCCATACGCATTTATTCAGAATTGGTTGTATCCAATTCTCAACATTTGGTCTATAATAGAATTTATGTGGTATATATTCATAATGTATTGAAAATTTTGCAGCTTGCGAAGGTTTAAAAAGTAAAAAAAAAATTACCTGCACTACTACTCCCCAATATTTACCAATTTACCACGGTCCTTTACTTCACTCGAATCATTTCCAAGAAGCCCATATAGGTTCGGCCCATTATATCGTGTCTCAGTGGCATTTTTGTACTTCGTCCATTAAATATAGTCAAAGAAAGTCTTTGACGCAAATTTTAAATTCAATTAAAAAAAATAGTTTTAAGTTTCTTCTCCAAAAGCGAGCGAGCGAGAGAGAGAGAGAGAGAGAGATCCGATCCAAGGCCGGAAAATATGGCGGAGCTGTCTTGCCTTCAGATCCACGATGCTAACGACGCCGTTTTCAACCATTACCACCACCAACGGCGGCTACATGATCACCTGAGAGATCAATCGTTTTCTCAGATCCTCTATCCGCTTCCTCACTGGGTCCAATCAGACGACGGCGATCTCTACGTCTCTGAATCCGATTTTTCTCCCGGCGACGTTTCGGTTTCCGATTTAGTATTCACGGCAGCCGACGGTCTTGATCTACTCGATCGGCGTAGCTTTGTCATGGATTTGTTCCACCAACGCGTTGAACAATCTCAGGTATGTCCGCTTGATGATGACGGAATCGACGATTTCGAAAATTACGAGATGCGTGGGGATAATGTGGAACTTGATTTTGGATTGGAGTTAGAATCTGGTTTCGTTGATAGTGATCTTGTTGTTAACCTTAATGAACACGATTTCGTTGATGGGATGAGGTTATTAGGGATTGAGTCACGCGATGTTATAGTTACTGTGGAATCGGGTTTTGATTCTGATGATGAAGATGATCAAGAGAAGGATGAGAGTGAGATTTGGGGAATTGATTTGAATGAAGAAGATGAGTATGTGAATGAGGAGGATGATGAAGAAGAAGATGTTAGTGTGACAATTCCTCTTTGTTGGGATTCACTTCAATTGGAAGATTTAGGAATAAACAACGAGGAATTCGAATGGGAAGAAGTTGATGGTGATGATGAGAGGGAGGTTTCAAGCGTTTTAGATGATAACAATTCGGTATCAGTCTCTGTCTCAGCCACGATCTCTTTAGAAGATTTGGCGATAAGTGAGAGAAGGGGGAGTAGTAGTTTAGGGTGGGAAGTTTTGTTGAATTCTCGTACTCTCGAGTTTAATCTAGATGATTCAGAAAGCAACTTGGAGTTATACATTGGTGATATTGATCATGAAGAAGAAGATTATGAAGATTATCTTCATACAACAGAGTATGAGATGTTGTTTGAAGCTGAGATCTCATCTGGTATTGGTAAGCCTCCAGCATCCAAATCATTCATAAAGAATCTAAAAGTGTCTCCTCTGACCAATGAAGATGTTATGGAGAATGATGATGACGCGGTGTGTTGTGCGGTTTGCAAAGAAGAGATGAATGTAGGAAAGGAGGTTGCAGAGTTGCCTTGTAGACATAAGTACCATAGTGAATGTATTGTTCCATGGCTCGGGATTAGGAATACGTGTCCTGTTTGTCGTTTCGAGTTGCCTTCGGATTGAAGACTTAAGCATGGCCGGTTTTCAAGACCCTGGAAGTTAGGGTTTACAAGATGAAGAAGATGATGACTTACTTGTGTAATTAATAGGATATAACTTGACTTGCGGGTCTTATTAGAGTTAGAGCCAGTAAAAAATATTTACATTTTGTTGTATGAACAAAATTTTGTTTTGTTTGCCCCTCTTAAATTGAAAATTTGTTACCTTTTTCATAATATTCTTATGTTCAACTTGTATTACAAACCAAACTTTTATTGGGATAATTATTGGAGACTAACACTTGAAAAAATACTAAGCTATACGGCATAAAATCATTTTTAAACTAGCACATTTTGATGATATTGACGACATTTAGTTTCAGTAATAATCTTCGTAAAGAATATTCTGTGTTGTGTCATTTAATCACCCAGAGATTCTTTTGCCTCAATGGGTTCAGGTTGGTTCAGACGAAACTTTGCAGAAAAGAGACTTATTGTCCGTTTCTGGAAACAAGACATTGCCTCTCCGTAACGTTAATCACCATTTTTGTTAGCACTTTCAAAGCTGTTAAGCATCATTATCTCTCTTAATTGTGTTTGGTTTCTGCTTTAAGCCTTTCATTGGCCTTGAAATTCAAGATTATTCCTTAATCTCAGTTTGGAAACAACGCATTAATGAGTTTTTTTTTTTACTTTATTGCGGTAGGTTGTATTTGCTATCGCCTATCGGCATTATTTTCTTCTTATATGATTAAGATCCAATTACCAAAAAGGAATTAAGATAACAACTTTATACAATTAGCATTGTCTTTGTACAAGTAGGTACAACAGTTTGATTAACTTACGCTAATGGTACTAATTTACGCTAATGGAACATCATCTTGAATCGTTTCACATTTTCTTTTTTATCTACTTTTAAAGAAATTATATAATTCCTAGGATTTTCTAAATTGACGAATAGACTTGGAACAGTAAAATTGCGAGTGAAAATAGCTAAAAACGTGCAAGTTAGCATCCACCGACCTATTTCACGAAGAAGTCCTTCTGATGACAAACATTATTGTATTACACACGAATTAGCTTACGTCGGATTCGCACATAATTGAAAAGAAAAAACAAAAGAAAGAATAATTAAGTTGTATATATCTAATACATTCATCTCCCTTTTAAGAATTTTAAATGATTAAAACAAAATTTTTATGGATTGTTTTTGTTAATCGATCAAGTTAAATGTGACCAAACGGCTCATCATATATAAAATTTGCAAAACAAAGAAAATAAAAGGACTTGAAAAGGAGGTTATCGTGAGAAACAATAGACTAACCTTGACAAAGATGTAAATAAATGAGATTTTGTCAAAAAGTATCACTAGATAGTTTAGTTTGTGGAAAGTTTTAATTGGTAGGCAAAAAATGTAAATACATTTGTCCTCATGCAAGTAAATTTGTTTGTCATTATAAAGCATCCATCAACCTTAAGTATGAACCTACACAAATCTTTTGTCTCTTCTCTCATTCTCTATCTTCCTCATTCTCACTCGCTCTAGTTCTATCACTCTCCCTATCCTCTCGATCTCTCACTTTTGACGTTTCTGATTTCTGCATCACAGAGAATTCAGTTTGATGATTAGACATCTAAAACCCTACATGGAGTCGTCTAGTGTCCATCGCTCTCATTGTTTCGATATTCTTGATGGAGTCCCACTACAGGACGATCATTTCAGCTCGGCATTCCTACCAAACACTGACTTCAATGTCCAGTTGAATTCCATATCGACCCGCAACAACAATCAGTCTCACTTAGACCCAAATGCAGAAAACATTTTCCATAATGAAGGTCTAGCTCCAGAAGAAAGGAGGGCAAGAAGAATGGTCTCTAACCGGGAATCTGCAAGAAGGTCACGTATGCGCAAAAAGAAGCAGATCGAAGAGCTGCAACAACAAGTTGAACAGCTCATGATGTTGAATCATCACTTGCATGAGAAAGTCATCAACTTGTTGGAAAGCAACCACCAAATCCTGCACGAGAACTCACAGCTGAAAGAGAAAGTCTCTTCCTTTCACTTGCTCATGGCAGATGTGTTATTACCCATGAGAAATGCAGAGAGCAACATCAATGACCGCAATGTGAATTATCTAAGAGGAGAAACTTCAAACCGTCCCACCAACAGTTCCTTTGGTAAGTAAAATAAAGTTTCATGATCCACTCTTCTAGTTCTTGGTGTGTTTACTAAAAAAGTCTGTAGTACTATGATAGATGCATATATGTGACTAGTGACTATTACACTAGCAATTACTTGAATTTGTATGTAGATAATGGATAACAACAATGCAGTAGCTATTATTGTTTAATATCTACTTGTTTCACATGATTGGTCTAAAGAAGCAAATCAACTTAAGCAAAAGGTTCAACAAACATTGTTAACACCAAAAACAGAACAAAAAAACTAAATGGGCATATCTGGTTTCTTGCCAACATCACAAGTATCCTCTAAGACAGTACCTCCATTGGAGATTTCACCATTGGGTATCTCTGCAGAAGCTGAATCAATGACCTCTTCTTGTTCTTCTTCTACATCTCCTACTTCTTCAACTTCTTCTTCAACCTCTTCTACTTCTTCCATTTCTTCTACTTCATCTTCTTCTTCTTCTTCGATGCATTGTGGCGGGTCTAGAAACGAAGCATCCGGGTCTGCATACCAACGTGCACAAGGCCACCTGAAAGAAATATCCAAAACCCAAGATAAACAGTATTATCATCCAAAAATACGAAAACTTATGACAAAAACCTCTGTTTTATACACCAATCTGATTACTTACACGCTTGAACAAATGGTTTCACCATCAATTGTTGTTGTCTCCTCATATTCATCCACTGAAACAAAAAAAGATCAAATTTTTTATGAAATCTTAACCACAAGAACAAGAATGAGACTAATAACCTTGAGAGAAGTGCTTATCCATGAGATACTTCCTAAAGTCAGCTTCATATCTTCGATACTTCTCAGCATACTCATCGCTATCCAGATACCTAAGAATGAAATTGGTATTTGTGAACATTCAATTTTAGGTTCTTCAATTGCACCACAAAGAAAAGGAAGCAAAATTACTTGTAAAAGGATGGTTCTTCAACAACCAGTTGATCTGTTAAAATTCTGTTGCTATTCACAATATCCATCATCTGCAATACAGTCGGAGTTTTATAGATCGTGTAAATTACTCTGTGAGAGAGCACAGAGAGCGGAGAGAATACCGTAATTTGTGCCGCCGGAGAGGGAGGAGCGGCGGAAATATGTTCAGAGATGACTGGAATCTCCTGCGGCGGTGGCTGCTCCACCTGCGGAGGCCGAATCGCCGGAGATGTAGCACTCTCGCTCGTCATACGTCTTCAGTTTTTTTTTTTTTTTGAATTTTTTTTTGAAAACTCAATCTATTGACTATGATTGTCATTGTACTATCTTGGTTTTTTTTTTTGTCAACTTTTTATATTAGAATCAATTTATGAAGACTAGGTTTTTGTCTTTTATATACTTCTATATTAAATTCATTTTTGTAATTTGAAATTTATTAATTTAAATATTAAAAATCAGATAATTTCCCGCATAATTAAGTAATTTCGTGTCAAAAAAATGTCCGCATAATCGGTTTCTTTTTTACTTTCGGAATTTGATCAATTTAGTACGATATTTGATGTGTGTTAGGGGTGTCAAAATGGATTGAAATTAATGGATCAATCCAAACCAATCCAATCCATGGATCTAATGAATTGGAAATTTGGATCTTAATGGATTAATGGATTAAATGGATTAGTGAGTTTAATGAATTGGATTGAAATGGTTAAGATTATAATGGATTAGTGGTTTACTCATAACCAAACCAATAAAAATTAAATAATTTAATTCAGATGTATAAACCAAATATAACCGAAACAAATGTCTAAACCGATTTAATAAACCGAAACAAAACCTAATTTCTCACTTTCTCACAATCGATCTCGCTCTCGCTCTCTCTCTCTCAGCCTCCAATTTCACCATCGTCGCTTAGAGAATTTCTCCTTCAAAGCCCCAAAACCAATTCCAACGACCTCTCTTTTCAGATTCGACGGTGACCACCATCTTACACTCCCGGCTAGGTAGGATCTACTTTATTCTCCGATTAGGAAAATCTCCGGTGAAATTTGTTGAGATTATCATGTGATTATGCTTTCTTCGATTCTACTGTTTTTGGGTTTTGCTTTATTTACATTCTCTGTCACTAAGGAGCTCAATTTTAGGATTAACCCATAACAATTTGAAGATGAATCTCTCTTTGCTGTTTCTGTTCCTTTGCTTTGTGGCTGCTTGTAAGAGAGTCTACTTGTGAAATTTTAGTCATTTCTTACATTTTGAACTTGGTTCTTCATGTTCTGCATCAAATCGTTGCTCTTTGAGCTTGGTTTTTGGGTTTTATGGGTTTGTGAGCAAAATTGGCTTACTTTAGAGATTAGTATAGATATGAAGGAAGAAGATATCTGTGTAAAATATTGAACGTCGTTAGTATAGAAATGAGATTAGTATCATGAACGTTAGTATAGATATGAGATGGATTAGTATCATGAACGTTAGTATAGATATTCTTTAATCATGTGATATGTTTGGTTTCTCTCTGCAAATATTCAAACAGATATCTGTGTCTTCTTTTCTAAGTTTTTTTTTTTTGGTAACAATTCTTTTGCAAGTTCCTGTGTCTTCTTTTACTCTAATTAGCAAAGTTACTCTTGAATGTGGATTTATGGCTCTTGAATGTGGATTTATGGCTCTTAATTATTAACATCTCATTTGACTTAAATCTGCAGACTTAAACCTAAGACTTAACCGATATATAGTTGTGACTGCACACTATGTAGATACGAAGTGGATATTGCATAGCAAAATGCTATCATTTTGTGATATCCTTCCTCCTCACACCGGTGATGCTTTAGCTAGTAAAATCCACGAATCGTAGATGATGCTACCAATTTAATTTATTGGAGAAGAAAAATATTTCTCCTTTTAACAAAGAAACAAATCTAAAACAAAATAGCAAGCTAATTTTTTTTTTCTTAAGATAATATATAGTATTTGTTACGTTGTAGGCAAAAATGGGGTTTCAATTGAAAAAAGTTTGTTCGTATATCTTTTCTTTTTTTAATATATAGTTTGTTCGTATATCAACTTCTTTATGATATTACTCTAAAATTAGAATGAACATAGTAAAAATTACATGATTAAAACTATGTGGAAACTGGAAACAAAACAACATTTATTATAAGATTCTCGAATTTGGTCTGTCAAACAGATTATTTAAAATAACAATTCTCTATTTGTCGACTGATGTATTTTAAGTTCTCTCTTGTAACAGTGTGCTTGCGCAATATCTTTCATCACATTAGTGATACAATTTGAAAAAGAAAATAATCAATTCTAGAAGAATGTGTATTCCAAAATCTTGTAACAATTTGATACAAAATAAAATAATTTATTTGATTTGAAATTGAATAATTTATTAGGAGATATAGTAACTATTATAGTACGTTTTAAAAATATATTTCAAATTTAGGTTAGTTATATATATTTAAAATAATGAAAACTACCCATTTAAAAAAATATATATTCTAAAATTTTATATCATTTAAACTCTAATTAAATGTTAAATATTTTAATTTATCTTTGAAATATTTTCTAGATGTTTACAAATTTAGAATCCAAAAAATTAGTTTTTGAATAAGCTGTATTTTAAAGGATGGAAGTATTTCGTTTAGATTATATACGACAAATATAATAAATGATTTTTCATATTTGGAAAATCAAAATTGAAAAATCTTTTTTCCATGTGTACCAATCAGAATTAATTAGCATAGTATTGTTAAGGAAATTTTTAAAAATCTAAACAAAATGATAATTTGTTATTAGATTAGATTGCCATTTTCGAAAATATCTAATAATATCTTACAAAAATAATTTAGCTTACATATATGCATTTTTGAATTAAATATACACAATTACCCGTTTCGGTTTATTAATCTTCCTTCTTCAAATTTAAAAATATCAATGGCATTCTTTGTAATTATTTACCATTTATAAGGTTATATTTTATCCAATGCTTCCCAATTATTAGTATAAATCTACACTATTAATATCATAAACTTTTATAGATTGGTAACATCGTTGATAACTATTTCTCGTTGCAAAATTGATAATATCGTTGATAAATATTTATAATTTTAGTATTTACCAACCCGCAAATATTTAATTTTATTTTAAAACATATTATTTCTATTATTAATTTAGTTTAGTTGCTAATAATTTAGTTTAGATTTTATTGTTAAAATATTTTGTATTTTTCAATTAATGACATTCGATTTATGTTGATTTTTTTTTGTTTTATCTCTAACAAATTGAAAAATACAAAATATTTCGATTTATATTCGAAATAAATATATTGATGCTGAATATTCAGTTATTATTTAATATTTAATGTTGTTTCCTTTTTTGTTTTTGTAGACAAACCATACCAAAAATATTGACGAAGCAAATCTCGGAATATATTGGATCATTTAATCTCGTTATTTGTTTTTGCAAAAAATTAATGAAGGATCCGAATCAAATATATTTATTTAGTTGTAGTAGTTGTTTATTTACTAAATTACCCATATAAAAATTCATTTAGTTAGTCTTAAACTACCCTCACAATGTTGTAGTTAACAAAATGCTTCCCAATTAATAGTATAGATGTTGGAATGATTCATGGAACTATATACAATTCAAACAACATTTTTAACTTTAGTATTTCAAACTAAAACGTATGTTCAGATATTCAAGTTAAAAAAAGAGTCACCATTTCGAGTTATAGACCCGATTAAGAAAAATAGATTTCTTGGTCTTTGTCACCAAAAAAAAAAAAAAAAAAAAAAACAGTATCTGAAATCTAACGGTGGAAATTAATCAATAGAATAAAAAGATTCTTTTTAAGATAAAAGGGAGAAAATGAGCGGATAATAAAACCACTGAATCTGTTTGCTTTAGTTGGAAGCATTAAGAGACCAGCCATGGCTTCTTCTTCTTCAATCTCATTATCCTGCGCACCTTCTTTGGCCACCTCACTCTTCTCCACCACTTCTTGTTCTTCCCCAACGCTGCTCTCCTCTCGATTTCTCGGAACCCGAAACTTAAAGCTTCAGATCCGACCTGCCAGACTCGGACCCTCCAATGGTTCAAGAACCACTTGCTGGTTCAAGTTCGGCAAGAACGGCGTCGATGCTGAAAATGCCGGAATCTATGGCAGTCAGTCTCGCGATGATTTCGACAGAGACGATGTTGAACAGGTTTTTCTTCTTCTGGACTAAGAATAAAATTGATTTATATTTTGAACAATAAGGGTGGATTCTGATGGATCAAATCGTCAAGTTCTTCACTTTAGTGCTTGAATTGCAATCTTTGGCTGAAGATACGCTCATTTTTATATGAGAAGAAGCATTAAAGAGAGCTAAATTGAATATAACTGATATGTATACATAAATATAAATGTATTCGTGATGTTTTTTTGCAGTATTTCAACTACATGGGTATGCTTGCGGTAGAAGGTACCTATTCAAAGATGGAAGCTCTTCTTAGCCTAAACATTCACCCAGTCGATATCTTGTTGATGTTAGCCGCTACAGAAGGTGACAGACCTAAGATCGAGGAGCTGCTCAAAGCTGGTGCTGATTACTCAGTCAAGGATGCTGATGGAAGAACCGCTATTGACAGAGCCAACAGTGAAGAGATCCGTGATTTGATCCTTGGCTACAACGCTCAAAAGGCTTGAAGAACTTGTGCATTGGTATTAATACACAGGAACCACACAAGTTATGTTCATGAGTTTTGAAATGTTTTGTTTGCTAAAACAAACTGTCTTTCTGTGTTCCGCGGATGAGTAGATTATAAAATCCATCTTTTTCCTTTTCGTCTTTCTCGCCAGTTTCTTGTTTCTTCCTTAAGGGTTCTTCTATGGTGTTAGGCATTATTGCAGATGAAGGTCTTTTCACGGGTAGAAACGCTACCTTGGTTGCTCTGCATCTTGGTTTTACTGTGTCTCTGTTAATTTTTGTCGGCCTCACGGGATTTGTAGATTCATCTTCTACTTTTTTTGAATCTTCTGGTG